TTTTTATTGCATTGAACAGACTGGTTATTACAAGAAAGGTTCATATTGCTTTAAATACTATCTTTGCTAACTGCTAATATGATTACTAATACTAACTTATTACTACATTTTTAATGCGCTGCTAATACGATTACTAATGCTAATTTATTCTATGACTACATATTTTATATGCTTGATTGTTCTTTGATTATTGTGGCTGGATGACTTCATAATTCAAGCGTTGGATAAAATCTTCAGGGTTACGGGTTTGATCACGATATCGAACCATGTGCTATCACGGGCTTGGATCACGATTCAAATCACAGACTTCGGCTAGGGCTTGGTTTGTTATACCATCCCCCCTTTTAATGGCATCTCCAACAAATTTGTTCGTGCGTTTGCAATTTTTCCTTCTAATATATGAAGTGGGTTCCGGTTTAACAAGATACTGTTGGTGGAAAGTTGAAATAGCCTCCTGTGCATGGCTCACATTTTCAACTGGTTCCCAAGATCTTTCATTAATGTCATATCCTTTCCAGTCAATCAGGTAGTGTAATTTTTTCCGGAACATTTTCGAATCAAGTATTTCGTTTACTTCATATTCACTTGCTCCTTCAATGATTACTGGCGGAGGAGGCTCTACGACCCTTCCTGGAATGGTACTGGCAAAATACAGCTCTAAGAGCAAAACATGGAAAGCATTGTGAATTCTAAGTGTTGGAGGTAATGTCAATCTGTATATCACTGAGTTAATTTCTTCAAGAATAAAGTAAGGCCCTAGTTTTTTGTAGTCCAATTTTTCAGACGGGCAACTAGTATAAATATTACGTCGCAGGAGCCAAACCTTATCACCGATCTTGAATTCTGGTGCTAGCTGGCGGTATTGATCAGCGCTTTTTTTATAACACTTTTGTGCAATTCCTAGTTCTATGCCAATCATTTTATTAATTTGTTGCATTTCCTTGGCCTTATTCTCTCTTGATGAGACTGAGGAATGGTGTGGAACTTGTAAATCAAAGTGTGGGTGAAACCCATAATTAGCGAAGAACGGAGTGCTTTTTGTGAAGAAGTAGACCGAATTGTTGTAAGCAAACTCAGCTAGAGAAAGTAAGTCAGCCCAATTGTCTTGATGGTAGTTTATTGTATACCTAAATATTGCTCTAACATCTGAGTAACTCTTTCGCTTTGTCCATCTGACTAAGAATGGTATGCCGAAGATAGGTTGGTTCAGGTTCCTAGTAACTTAAATAAGTGTCTCCAAAATTTGAAGGCAAATTGGGGCCTCTGTCAGAAACTATATCCTCTGGAACCCCATGGAGGTGAATTACCTCTTTGAAAATTAATTGCACCATTTGTTCTGCATTTATGCTTTTCCTACAGGCAATAAAATGTGCCATCTTGGATAAGCGATCCACAACTACTAGGATGGAGTCAAACCCTGAAGATAAAGGTAAATCTGTAATGAAATCCATGGATATGGATTGCCATTGTCTGTCAGGTATGGGCAAGAGCATTAGGAGCTCCTGAGGGTGCTGTCTAGTAATTTTGATTTGTGCACAAACATCACAAGATTTAATATAATTTTTTATAAAGGATCTAAGTTTCGGCCACCAATAATCCTGTGACACTAACTCTATGGTCTTGGCAACCCCGAAGTGCCCGGCTATCCTTGAATCATGCTGTGTCTGTAACACTTTCAGTTTCTCTGGGGTTTCTGGTATGTATAGTAGCCTTTCTCTAAATAAAAGTCCATCTTGTATTAGAATTTATGATAATCAGAGCGGTTAGTCGCAATCTCATCTGTAGAGTTAGTTAAATAGCCGATGACATCCTGAGCCAAGGAGTCTAGGACAAGCTGTTTCCAGATTTGATTTCTCAAGGCTGTATCTACTGGGATTACAAGTGTAGTGTTTATATGAAAATTTGTTGCTTTTAGTAACGTGGTATATTGTTGAGTCACTGTTTCATTATGATCTAGGGGCTGGTAATCTATTCTTCATGATAAGGCATCGAACTTCCCCTGTTTGCACCCTGAACGAAAAACAATTTTAAAATCATAGTTAGAAAGGAAGAGGGACCATCAGGCCTGTTGACGACTGAGGTTCTTTGCAGAAGTGAAAATTCCAAATTTTTGTGATCGCAGTAAATGGTAATTTTATGCTTAGCATCTTCCAGGTAATGACACCAATGTTTAAGTGCTGTTATTATAGCGAGTAATTCCTTGTTATGCACGTCTTAGTTAATTTCTGCTGATATAAGCTTCCGCGAGTAGTAGACAACAGGGTGAAGAGTTTCCCCTGCTTGGTACTGAGACAAAATTGCACTGAGAGCATAGTCTAAGGCATCCATCTCTAAGAAATAAAGTTTTGCTGGGTCAGCTTGAACTAAAATTGGGGCAGATATAAAGGCCTTCTTTAGAAAATTGAATGCTTGTTGAGCTGAGGAAGGCCAATAAAATTTTATTGGTTTTTTTCCCAATTTCTTGGTTAGATTGGTCAAAGGGGTAGCTAGTTGAGTATAGCCCTTAATGAAATACCGATAATAATAGGCAAAGCCCAGAAAACATTGTAGCTCTCGAGTTGTTGTTGGGATGGGCCAAGTGAGAAGACTCTTAACCTTGTTGGGGTCCATCTTGATCCCTTAAGGAGTGATACATTAGCCAAGAAAATTAACACTCCCTTTATCAAACTCACATTTTTTTAGTTTTGCAAATAATCCGTATATACGCAACCATTCTAACACCAGTTGGACGTGTTCATCATGTTCTTTTTGACTGGTGAATATATTAAGACGTCATCCAAGTAGATTATAACAAATCTATCCAGAAAATCGCGGAAGACATCATTCATGAGGTGTTGGAATACTGCTAGAGCATTGGTGAGGCCAAAGGGCATCACCAAATACTCAAAGTGTCCATAGCAGATGCGGAAAGCCGTTTTCTACTCATCTTCTGGCCTGATACGAACTAGGTTATAAGCATCTCTGAGATCAATCTTGGTGAATACTTTGGCTAAGGCAAGTCGATTTAACAATTCTGGTATTAAGGGAAGTGAGTACTAATTTTTTATTGTAATTTGGTTTAACCCTCTGTAATCAACACACATGCATAAAGACCCATCCTTTTTCTTTACAAAAGAACAGGCGCCCCAGCTGGGTATATCGAGTGTCAGATAAATTCTTTCTCCAAATTTTCTTCAATGTATGTTTTCAGAACCTTGAGCTCGTGTGAAGACAATTCGCAAATGGGTCTCCAGGGTGGTTGTTTGCCGGGTACCAAATTAATGGCACAAACATATTGTCGATTTTTAGGTAGTTTATTAGCTTCCTTTTCGCAGAAAATGTCGCTAAAATCTTAATACTTTTTAGGAATCGTTGATGTAGAAGAAACTGGACCAAGGCGAGCAGTAAAGATACTGAAAATTTGCACTATATAGAGCTGTTCCCCGAAGTTAAGGGTGTATTGTAAAGCGATGGGTGTAGAACATGGGTATCGCAAATTGGATCAGAAAAAGTAACAGTACATTCCCGCCAGTTAATCTCCAGATTGTGAAAAGTCAACCAAGGTAACCCCAAAATCATTTTGTAGTGAGGTGAGTGAATAAGATTGAAAGAAATTTGCTCACAATAGTTTTGAAAATGCAAGAGTAATGGACCGGTTTCATGTGTGACAGAGCCGGAGGACAGTTCATGGCCGTCCACAACTTCGACAGATAATGGTGTTTCTTTTTTGAAAATAGGTAGATGTATTCCTGGGCTAAAGCAATGTCCAAAAAACATGCTGAAGCACCCGAATCAACTAATGCATGAATTTTTACTTGGGATTCATTAGGCAGATATAAGTATACTTCTGGGGTAAGTGCAGTTGAAGGACTAATGGAACATAGTTTTTCAGAAGGTAAAATAAATTTTTGATCCAGCCGAACTCTCCTTACTTCGACTGGGTCAACTCTTTTCCCAATGACTCCTCCAAGACTACAGCATTGATTCTTGATGCCCAATTACATTTTTTGGGGCAATTTTTTGCGAAGTGCCCAGATTTACTACAATACAAGCAAAGATTATTTGTGTGGCAACGTCGTTTCTCCACTTCAGACAGAGGCTTGAACCTAATGGCATCAAGTTGCATGGGGTCCTCGGTAGGCGGTGTTGGGCTAGTCGCAATTTGAGGCTAATAATTCTTTGTGGGTGAGTCCCACTGATGCTTCTGCTTTCGTTCAAAAATCTGATTATCACACCTAACAGCCTTAGAAATTGCATCATGCAAAGAGGCGGGGTCCTCCAAGGTTAACAATAAGTCTTTCACTTCGTTTCGGAGCCCTGTCCGGAACTGGTCAATTAATGCTACTTTGCTCCAGTTTAGGTCACCTGCTATTTGTCTAAATTCGGAGGCATAGCTAGAAGCTGCTTTTGATCCTTGGACAAGTTTTTTTATTTTATTTGCAGCAGTCCTGGACTTGTCTGCATCACCAAAAGTTTCCTCAAATTTTCTAAACAAATCATTAAAATTTTCAAATAGTTCAGATTGGTTCTCAAGTAGAAGAGAAAACCAAGCCAAGGCAGGCCCCGACAACAAGCTACCAAGCAGGCCCACTTGAGTATGATCATCAGGATAATGAGTAGGTTGCATACATATTACAAGACAAATTTGATTTAAAAAGCCTTGGAAGTTACTTCTTATACCATCAAACTTATTCAGAAGGCTTACTTTAAGTTCCCTGTGCTGAAAATTAGGGCCTTCTTGGAACTGAATCTGATTGAGGGTGTTTCGAAGTTCTGTGTTTTCTTGGTGAATTGTTTGATAATTCTGTTGGATTTGATTAAGAGCTACCAATATGGCGTTAAGATTAGGTATGGCGTTGGGGTCCGGTTGGTCTCCCATTGCAGCTTAAAAAAAAGTTTTATTTTACTTTCAAAATATATATAGAAAGTTCAAGACGTAGTCTTAAACAAGGAGATGTGAGATAGCTGACGAGTTAATCAGAAGCAGAAGATTTTTTTTTTTTTTTTTTTTTTATTAATGATTAAGGTGTATTAGGGCATAAGTAATAGGAGACAAGGTCCAAATTGTTGAATGAAAAATGCTGAAGTGTTGACAGTATTTTGAATTTAATAGAGAATGATTTTGGAGTTAACCTTTTAGAAAACAAGGTTTTAGAATTTGGGATAGTCTGTTCAAACTGTAATGGACCGGATTGGGTTACTATGGAC